ACTGTGATGGGGACAGAGCTCTAGGCCACGTGGCCTGACTACAGTTCCAGCCACTGCCCCTCACCAGAGCAGAGGAGTGTGTAGCATACCCTCCTGCAGCCCTGACTTGGCAGCTCAGAAACAAAAGTAGCACCACCCTGTTTATGTAACAAGAACTCGCGTAGCACTTTGGCCCGGACTGCTCTTCGTGATTTACTTACTCATCTAGCCTGCAATCCCAGGGTGGTCAGTGCCAACATCTCATTTCAGGGGGAGGAACTGGAGCCTCCGAGAGGTGCCCAGGCAGGGAGGGAGGGGCCCTCCTTTCCACCACTGCTCCTCTTGCCCATGGACAATAACCGTAGAGCCCCACGTGGCCATGTGCTTATCTCAGGGCATGAAAGGTTAGTTGTGACATGTGTGCCCATAGCCAGGTGGCTGGACATCATGGCATCGGTTCTGATTTCCAGGCTGGGTTTGCAAACACAGCAAAGTAGGAGCTGGCTGGGAAGAGGGGCTGGTTCGAGAAGTGGTGGGTGGTGTGCCACTGTGGCGGTTAGTCACTTCTCTGGTCTCCATGTGTGAGGTTGAGCAAGTCCCTGCAGTCGTGAACCTGGCGTTGTGTCAGACGGGCTGCGCTTTAATTCCCAGCTTCTCTGTCTTCATGTGCTCAGGCTTGAGAACAGATGAGGAAGGTCTGATGGCTATCGTCAGGCATTTATAGAATGGCTGGGCAGGGCCAGCGAGTTCTAGACCAGGCAGAGAGCTCACTTGTGTGTGCCCCTCTCTGTCCCCTGAGGACAGAGGCCTGGACTGACTCTACTCCAAGGTCTTGTCTGTCTGGTCATGTCTGGTTTGTCATTTGGGGTTGGGACAAGCCTAACCCAAGACCAGCTGTGGAGCACGTGAACACAGGTTTGCTGGCCTTTCCCCTTAGGTCCCTGTCCACACTCCCGACATCTCCCACGAGGGGTGTTCTGGAGAGCGCCTTGGCCCTGCCCCGGGTAGGGAGGGAGGAGACCAAGACACTCTCACAACGCTCTGGAGGTGAGGACATGGTCGCTGTGTGTGTGTGTGGCTCTCCAGGGCTGCGGGGGCTACGGTCTCTTGGCTGTTAGTCACCCCTACTGAGAGAGGTTGCTAGTGAGGAGGTCTGCCACGTCCCTGGCCAGACTCTGGCAGCTTGGAGTCGGAGCCCAGATGCACCCATTGAGGAGAGGAGGGACAGAGCAGCTAGACCCTCGGTGTGCCTCGACAGGGAGGTGGCAGGTGCACAGACGCCGGAGCTCCCTTTCTGCTCCCTTCCCTCTGTGGTTGGGAGGCGACACCTACCTCAAGTTTAGGACCCTGGTAGAGGGCATTCAGACCCTGTCATCGCACAGATGAATTGCATTAGCTCGTTTAAAGGCAGACAGCAAAACAAAGACTGTCTCCATAGTGTGACTTTACTGGCAAATTTAACTAAAGTCAGCAAGGGGCTTCTGTGGTTCTTCTTTCTTCACCTTGTTCTGGACTTGCATAGCTCTACCCACGTCCCAGTGGCACTTGGGAAGTTACCGAAAGGCAACGGGATGTTAGGACTTCATGACGTTTGTTCATGCATTTATTAACCCTCAGCTCATTCTGAGCACAGGGTGGAGGGCAGAGACGAGAAAGCAGAACATGCGTGCTCTCCCTGACAGTGAAGTTGGGGGGACATGTGTGTGCTCTCCCTGGCAGTGAAATTAAGGGCCAGGAAACACTGTCCCTTTTAGTCTTAAATTGCTAGGTTTTTTAATGGCCAGAGGGCATGTGCACTCACCAGAGAGGGAGACAGAGACACACAGAGAGAGAAACAGAGGGACAAAGCACCCCCGATGAGGCATGGCCACACTGTAATCCCATCTCTCATCCCTCCCTTCCCATGGGATCTGAGGCATGTGTGCACACACAACACACACGGTGGGTTTTTTTGTTTATTTTGTTTTTTTGAGAATTTTTTGCTACAGGGCATGTGCACTCACTGTAGAGACAGACAGGAAGCAAGCAGTCACCCCTCAGGGGAGACAGCCGTGCCACGATCCCTTCTCCTTGAGTTAGTTTCCTGTCGGGGTCTTGGGCATACATGCATACTTGCCCGGTGTAAGTTTTAAATTGCTGGGTCCGTGACTCAAACTAGTCGACTGTGTGGGAGCCCAGCGACGTGGGGGGCTACGGTCTCTTGGCTGTTAGTCACCCCTACTGAGAGAGGTTGCTAGTGAGGAGGTCTGCCACGTCCCTGGCCAGACTCTGGCAGCTTGGAGTCGGAGCCCAGATGCACCCATTGAGGAGAGGAGGGACAGAGCAGCTAGACCCTCGGTGTGCCTCGACAGGGAGGTGGCAGGTGCACAGACGCCGGAGCTCCCTTTCTGCTCCCTTCCCTCTGTGGTTGGGAGGCGACACCTACCTCAAGTTTAGGACCCTGGTAGAGGGCATTCAGACCCTGTCATCGCACAGATGAATTGCATTAGCTCGTTTAAAGGCAGACAGCAAAACAAAGACTGTCTCCATAGTGTGACTTTACTGGCAAATTTAACTAAAGTCAGCAAGGGGCTTCTGTGGTTCTTCTTTCTTCACCTTGTTCTGGACTTGCATAGCTCTACCCACGTCCCAGTGGCACTTGGGAAGTTACCGAAAGGCAACGGGATGTTAGGACTTCATGACGTTTGTTCATGCATTTATTAACCCTCAGCTCATTCTGAGCACAGGGTGGAGGGCAGAGACGAGAAAGCAGAACATGCGTGCTCTCCCTGACAGTGAAGTTGGGGGGACATGTGTGTGCTCTCCCTGGCAGTGAAATTAAGGGCCAGGAAACACTGTCCCTTTTAGTCTTAAATTGCTAGGTTTTTTAATGGCCAGAGGGCATGTGCACTCACCAGAGAGGGAGACAGAGACACACAGAGAGAGAAACAGAGGGACAAAGCACCCCCGATGAGGCATGGCCACACTGTAATCCCATCTCTCATCCCTCCCTTCCCATGGGATCTGAGGCATGTGTGCACACACAACACACACGGTGGGTTTTTTTGTTTATTTTGTTTTTTTGAGAATTTTTTGCTACAGGGCATGTGCACTCACTGTAGAGACAGACAGGAAGCAAGCAGTCACCCCTCAGGGGAGACAGCCGTGCCACGATCCCTTCTCCTTGAGTTAGTTTCCTGTCGGGGTCTTGGGCATACATGCATACTTGCCCGGTGTAAGTTTTAAATTGCTGGGTCCGTGACTCAAACTAGTCGACTGTGTGGGAGCCCAGCGACGTAGCCATCACGCCATCTGCTGGTCTTCACGGTGTGGGCTGGGATTCTGACCGGCCATGGGCTCTGAGTCCCGCAGCCACAGGCCGCAGGCTGGCCCTAAGCCATTACTTCCCTGGCTCTGGGTGTAACAGGTCATGGTCTGTGCGTGGCCCTCAGACGGCTGCTAGCAGGTCCGTGTCCTCTGACGGCAGGGGCCTCAGCCTGTCTAGTCGGGGTGACACTGCAGCTCCTCCAAACGCTGCACCCAGGGCTTTAGCGCCTCCTCTCTGCCAGCCGAGGCTGCTGTGTGGCTGGAGTCTCTTGTCCATCACTGGAGTCTGGGAGGCAGCAGCGTGAGCTGAGCAAGGCTGAGGTAGCCGCGAGAGCACTGGGGGACCCTCTAGTGCGTGACCATCGCTCACCGTGTCCCCTGCCCTCCTCTGTGGGGCTCCAGAGTGTATTTCATGCTGTCTGTTAGACCTCGGGCTCCCTGAGGGTAAGAGACTGAGCACAGGCCCGCAGGGCCCAGGAAAGGGCAGTCTGACTGGACACAGCCCGGTCCTGAGGGCTGTGAGCCTGCTGGGCATGTTGCCTGGTCTCAGCTCAGCCCTCACCGGGCCATGGAACTGGCTTGGTACACAGCTGAGGGGAGTTACTGAAAGTTAATGGGCCCGTTTGGCCTACCCAGCCCGCACTCGAGCCCAGGCCAACCCTAAGCCGCTGCCCTGAACCACACACTCACAACCACCAAGTCTCCTGTGAACTGCTGCAAGAGGACAGAGACCTTGAACCAACCCTACAGGGTCAGTTGCATTTAGGTAAGAAGAGAGGACAAGGAAGAAAAGTCTGGGCACGGGATGCGGTGTGTGTTGAAGCCTGGGAGACAGGTGTGTGGTGCAGACAGCGCCCACCGTGAGCTCTCCTTGCCTCCAGCACTCGGCAAGTGCCCCTGAGGAGGTGTCAGTAAGCGTTTACTGTGGGGAGAGCACAGGAGGAGATAGCCGTCTTCTCCATAAACTGCAAGCCCCTGGCAGGACAAGGTCTCGCCAACCAGCTAGTGTCTGGTGAAGAGCAGATGGGCAGCAAGGTGCCCTGCAGGGGAACCAGTGCACATGGCAGGTGGGGCTGTGAGGGTGCTCAGGGTGGAGGCCCCAGTCTTGGGGAAACACGGACGACACACGGCCGCGTCGTCAGGAAATGACACGAGGGTGTCAGCGCCGGGACAAGGAGCTCGGATGACCCTCAAGGCACGTCTCTCAGCAGCAGGTGTTGGTAAGCTGCTGCGCCCTGTGAACTGGAGCTACGCGGCCTCTTCCCGGTCCGCCCCAAGGCTAGGTGTGTGGTGTGTGCCTGTTACAGTGACTGGGGAGGCTGAGGAAGAACGGCCACGCGTTCGAGGTTAGCCCAGACCTGGCAAGACCCTGTCTGAAAGGGCCAGGCATGCTGGCCCACTTTGTAGCCCCAGCCAAAGCAAAAGGGTCACAGCTTCGTGAGAACCGTCTCTACCACAGAGACCCAGGCAGTACCCACCAGCAGTGTACCTGGGAGCCAGTCAAGCACAGCTTGGAAATTGTTTTCTGAGGGACGACCTCGGCCTGGCTGCATTGTCACTGCCCAAGACGAAACCTGCACCAACTTGCAAAGGGGAACCGTGGATGCCGAGGCCGCCTCCGAGTCCAGACCCTTCTAGAGGAGTCTAGCTGGAAGCCCCTGCCAACCCCAGGGGTGAACCTGGAGTTCTCAGTCAAAGCTGCCCTCTCTTTTCAGGTGTTGGGCAAGTTTGTGGGTGAAGCCTGAGGGCCAGAAGGCAGCCCAGACCTGGTTTAGAGGCTACACTGAACCCTGACCTGGACATATGACCCGCGGCCTCGCTCCTGACCTGCCCAGCGGCCTCGCTCCTGACCTGCCCAGCGAGTTCTGCGAGATGGGCTCCTTCCGCAGGCCTAGACCGCGCTTCATGAGCTCGCCTGTGCTCAGCGACCTGCCCCGATTCCAGGCAGCCCGGCAGGCTCTGCAGCTCAGCTCCAACTCGGCCTGGAACAGGTAAGGGGGAGGCAGGGGTGCAAAGGAAGTCTGCCCAGGGCCAGAGGCCTATCTGGTCAGGATTAGAGGAGTGAGTGGTGACAGCAACACACCTGCCCACAGCCAGCCTGGCCATCAGCTTTCTTTGTTTTCATAGTGAGGAATCAGGCCTCAGGGAGCCTGGGAGAGTTGATGGAAATTTGTAATTACCACTCATTCTCTTTAGTCGTACCCCAAACATCCACGGAAGTCCAAGGACCAAGGCAGAGGTTATGGCAGTAACCTCAGGGGCCTTAGGGGAGCTGTGCAGCCTGGAAGAGCTCCGGTGAGCAGCACGAACCAGTGGTTTGCAGGAGGGTGAGCCACAGGTGTTTGGGAGAGCAGTCACTGAGAGTGCTTAGGATTTTTTTTTTCCCTAGAGACTTTTGTCTTAGGGTGTGTATACTCTTACCAGAGAGAAAGAGAGAGACAGTGAGAGGAAAGTGAAAAATCACCCCCTGGGGGGATGGCCACACTGAAATCCCTTTTCCTCCCAGGATCTTATTTAGGCATGCGTGATTTCCAACCCGCTGGGTCCTTAGGTGTTTATCTGGCCCTCTTAAGCAAAGCGTCCAGCAGAGACGGAGCCATTACTACGTCTTACATTTCTTTTCCTTTTCCCTTTGAGGAATTTTTGCTATAGGGTGCATGTGCTTACCAGAGAGACAAAGGGACAGAAAGCGAGAAATCACTCCTCAGGGTGGATGGCCACGCTGCACTCCCTTCTCCTCCATTCTCCTGTTGGGATTTTGGGCATGCATGCACACACACCTGGCGTGAGGTTTAAGCCTCTGGGTCCTGGACTCGAGTACATGGGAGTCTGGTGACGTAGCCATTGTGCTATCTGCTGGCCCCTACATCTTACATTTCTGTGTCGGAGTCTGTCGATGTAGCCATTGTGCCACCTGCTGGTCCCTGTCTTACATTCTGTGGCTATTATTTCTCGAACCTGTGCAGATGTTCTGCTTTTAATTTTTTGTTGTTTTGATTTGGTGGAAGTGTGTGTGCTCACGCTAGACAGAGAGACAGTGGTCAAGCACTCCCCTACAGGGCACAGCCATGAAGCAGGCCCCTCTCCTCCATTTCTCCTTTCAATGTTTTGAGCATGCATTGCATGTAAGGCACCTGGGTGTTTTCCAAGCTCCCAGGTCCATGGCTTGAACTGCCCAGTTGACCATGTGGGTCTAGTTGCCTTAGCCAGCACACCACCGACTGGCCTCAGATACTCTTCTTATCATTAAGTGCATCATTATTTTTGAAGCTTTACTGAGTTCTTTGTAGCTTGGGTCCTTGTGGAGTCTTTTAACGAGCAGAGAGAGCACGGGAGATAGGGAGGGGGGTTCTGAAATGTTTTGGTACTGACCAGAGCCTTGTTCTTTGAAAAGGGCTCAGGACTCAGTTGGGATAAGACGATAATCAGCTCCTTTGCAAAAACCCTTGGCTGGGGTTCCAGAGCACGTGAGGGGAGGTCTGCACTGGTCCCTGGGGGACTAACTGCCTCTGCATGTCAGAGGGGTGGGAGTGGGAGCCGTGGGGCTGGCCCATGGGAAACTTCCAAGTGGACAGGCTGGCTGGTAGCTTGGCCTTTGTGTGCTGCAGGGGAAGCTGGATCCCACACATGGCCGACCCTAGTTTGAGTTCTGGTTCAGTGGCTTGAAAACACATGCCAGGGTACACACGTGTGCCAGGGTTGTGAGGAGACAGAAGACTGGAGGAGAAGGGTGGTGTGACTGGATCCTCCTGGGGAGTGCTCCCTCTCCTTCCTGTTGAGGAGCCCTCTCTCTGTTTCTTGTACACATGTGCCCTCTGAAAAAAATAAATAAATAACGCAAAGAACTATGGTTTCCTATTAGCCCAGACACCATGAGCCACGACCATGGCCTCCCAGCTGGAGGAACTGCAGGTGCAGGTCAGCCCCGCTGGCAGGCATGCCGCTCGGACTCTCCCTGACCACGCAGCTCCCACCTCCTGCACCTTCTGTTAATAGCTGCTGCTGGCAGGGCCGCCTGAGGCCAGGAGGGAAGACCCTCCTGCCTGCAAGTCTTTGTGGCTCCCGCCTTCCTTCCTCCCCACAGACCCCGGGAAGGAAGTGGTGGATGGAAATGTGGTCATGTGTGGGCCACGGGCTTCCTGGCCTTCCCACCCACTTTCAGCCCCAAGCCGCTTATCAAAATGGCCCTGGGAGACAGATTCCCTAACCGGGGCTTGTTTCTCTTTCCC